TGACATGAATACAGTTAAGCTCGGGGGAGAAAAGCACACAGAACCTGCATTTGCTGATGGGCAACAACTTAAAATGAAGAGAAACAGCTGTAACAATATGGTAGGTATTTTAATTTGTGTTCACTATCCACATGCAATTAAGAATCACCATTTTGGACGTGTGAGTCCAAGGTATGAAAAAAATCCCTAAACCACTTAAATTAAAACAGAAACATATACATTACATAGGTGCCTCAGTCCTCTGAGCCTCCTGAGGATGAGAATAACCAGGGAAATTTCTTGCTCTTTAAATTCTTGTAGACATGAAGATTTTGGAGCCAACAATGAAGACACCCAACCTGTGCTCAGAACAGAGCCCAAGCTGTTGAAAGCTACTGCTCAAGACAGACTGCGTGTATCCATCACTAGGCGAGACTGGCTTCTTCAAGAAAAGCAGCAGCTTCAGGTAAGCAAATGAAGAATCTGAAAGAACTAGGGTAGTATTTTTTCTGGCCTTTTTAACAAGATGGGCCTTTGCTTTCCTGAGTGTAGCAATTAGAGCTTTACCTGTCAACCCTGTAAGGTACAAAGAGGAGAGATTGGAGATTACGGGAGTTGTATGAATCTCATTACAAATGAGAGGTTGAACATGCAGCCCATTTTGTGCCTGTTTTTGATAGTCCTCATTACCTCTTGAATATTCTTCCCTTGTCTGCCAGATCAATTTGTCACCTCTTATTATTTTGACCTTTAGAAGATTCTTTAGGAAGGCACAAAGGAATGTGTACACTGAAAAGTCTTTAAGGGGATTCTTACCTTATTGGATTGTGAGCAGCAGTATGTGAGGACACAAAGTGGCAAGGACAAGCAAGTCTGAGAATGCCCAGCAGCAATACACGAAAGCCCAGTGTTGGCCCAGGGCAGTGGATGAAAGCTGGCCAGGGCCCAACACAATTAAACCCAGAAGAGAGTTAGGAGCTCTGAAAGCAGACATGACACCCTAGAGGCAGGAAACCTGGAGACTGGGCCTCAGCCCTGCAGCCTAGACACCTTAGGAGCAGTGGGAACCAATGAGGAAACACAGATGACAGACAACAAGACATTGTGCTAAGAGCACAGATCTGTAATAGCTGAGTTCAAATGCTGATACAGGCTCTAACTTCCTCTGTGAGTTTAGACAAGTTATCTGAGTATGGGAGCCTGGCAAGTTACTGGAATAGCTATTCCTCCCACACCTGCCAGTGCAGAGTATTGTTGTTATCTGAGTCTGTTCATCCAGCTCCCTGCAATAGCAAAAGGGAAGCAAAGTCATCAGAATTTGAAAATATTCTCCAATAAACTAGGTAGTGGTGTGCCATGGAGTTGGTTTCGACCCATAGTGACCCTGTATAGGATTTCCAGGGAGTGACTAGAGAGCTTGAACTGCCAAGCTTGCAGTTCAAATGGCTCGGCAGTCTGGCGCATTAACCCACAGTGCCACACAAGGACTCCACCAGAGCTCCTTAGCACTTATATATTCAGTGAGCATCACTGAAGTTTGGGTTGCTGAAAACGTGAAATTTGGAGTTTGGTTTTTAATAATAGCCACCAATTTAAAGGCCTGCAGAATTCCAAATAATGTCAGAGTAGCAGAATCTAATTTTAGCCTAGGTTGAGGGTGGTGGTGTGATGTGCTGTGGAGTCAGTTCTGACTCACGGTGACCCTTCATAGGATTTCCAAGATTGTAAATCTTTATGGGAGCAGAAAACCTCATCTTTTTCCCGCATAACAGGTGGTAGTTTTGTATTGCTGACCTTGAGATTAGCAGCCCACCTCATAACCACTGCACTAAGGAGAATTCCTGGTAGCATTCTGGAGGAAGGTGAAAGGTCATTTATCCAACAGGTATTTATCGAATGCTTACAATGTGTCAAAAACTATTGGGAATGCTTGGGATTCCTGTGGAATAGGAGTGGAGGTGGGGGTGATGTCAGAACAGATAGACAATAAGTGATAAACATAACAAATAAAAACAACAAATCTCAACAAATACATAACAAAAACACAGTATGTTGTAGGCTGATAAGCTGCTGCTGGATGCCACCAATAGTTAAGTGCTGTAAGATAATGCACTGGACTGAAAGGTCAGTTTGAACTGCAAGGTTGGTGGTTCAAATTCATCAGCCACTCCTTGGAAACACAGGGTTGCTGTGACTCAAAGGTACTTAACAACATCAACAACAGTAGACTCCTAACCAAAAGGTGGATGGGTTGGACTTGGTCATTCCAACCCATCAGAGGTGTCTTAAGACAGGCATGCAATCTGCTTCTGAAAGGTTACAGCCTTCAAAGGCCTATGGAACTGTGTACACTGCACACATGGAATTGCCGTGAGTTGACATTGACTAGATGGCAACTAACAACACCACGGAGATGAGAGCTATAATGAGGACCAGAGTCTGGGTTCTGCTCACTGAGAAGTGGAATTGAAGAAACACTGGGAGGAGAAGAGGAGGCCTAGCTGAAATTTCCAGTGTGAGCTCTCCAAGCAGGATACAGTCTGTGTGAAGGTCACATCAGGTGGAGTGTACCTTGTGTGTTCCAAGGAAAGCCACCTGTCCAGTGTGGCTGGAGTAGTTAGTCTAAGCAAGGGGGAGAGTAGTATGGGGTGAGGTTAGGGATGTAAGGGGTCTGTATGTGGACTTGGGTTGAAATGGGGTGCCATCTAAGCAGCGAAGTAACATGATCTGACTACATGTTAAAGAATCACTTTGACAGCTACGTAAGGATTGTTAGCTACCATGGAATTGATTTTGACTTGGGGTGACTGCATGTGTGCTGAGTAGAACTGCGCTCCGTGGAGTTTCCAGTGTTGTGACCTTTCAGGAGTGGATTACCAGGCCTGTCCTCCAAGGACCTCTGAGTGGCCAGAGGGTGGTGCGAACCACCAACGTTTTGGTTAGTAGTTAAGTGCTTAGCTGTTTGCTCCATCTAGGGACTCCTGGGTTAAAAATAGTGTGTAAGAAGAAGTTGAAGGTGGAAGTAAGGAGACTAGTTGGAAGACTGACAATAACACAATACTCTTAGCTCAGTGGGAGACATGGAGGCCTTCTTTTCCAGTTAAAATTTCTTTCTCTATCTTGCTAAAAAAGAGCTCTGGTAGCGTAGTGGATTACAAGCTGAGCTGCTAACTGCAAGGTCAGCAGTTTGAATCTACCAGCTATTCCGGGGTAGAAAGATGAGGCTCTCTGCTCCCATAAAGATCTCAAGCCTCGGAAACCCTATACAAAGTCACTATGATTCAGAACTGACTCCACAGCACATAACCACCACCATATTCCCCCGAGAAGTGGGTTTAGAAGGTAAAAGTTGTGGAGTATAGAGTATGCCTTGGGTTTCTAAATTGGAGAGACAGACATGATTAATGTTATGTTCATACCAGCCAGAAACCAATGCAAAGACAATGCAAGGTTGCTCATTTAAAAGCCTGATTTTAAGTTCAGAAGTAGCTGCTCAGGTACATGCTGCTTATTTTATTTATTGACCTCAAGATGAAATGATAACTCTTTGGATCCCTTGGATTTTGGTTTGCTTTATTAAAGGTGTGGTACTGTAGGATAAATCACTTGACTGCAAAGTCAGTTTGACCCCCAAGATTGGTGGTTCAAACTAACCAGCCACTCCTTGGAAACCTTATACAGGTTGCTATGAGTTGGAACCGACTCAATGACACATAATAATAACAACAAAACAAAAGCGTATTCATGGAAACTGAGTTTATTTAATATTTTTCTGAACTTTAGACTGCATGACACTGTCTGTAATCCCTCCTTGTTCTTTCAGTACTGCAGATGTAAGAAGCCCTGATTAATATTTTTAACATCTCTCTCTACAAACAAAATTCTCAAATTTGGAGACAGATTAATAAGGATTGTTTGCCAGTATCCTTTTGTTCTGTGGCTAGCTATTACCTGCTTAGCTAGTATCTTAAGTGCACAATGTTGTTGTTTTCTAACTAAGATGAAGAAAGTCATCTATATGGCATCTTTCAAGACACATTCTTGGCTCCTCCCATAGTTATTTAACGTTTGGAGGTCAAAGCTCTGGTACTGAGGGCAGACTTCAGTTGAAATGCGTCATTTCAGTCTGCCATTAGCAGGTTAATTGATAAAATCTGGTTTTCCTTCTTTCTAAAGAAAGAAATTGAAGTTCTACAAGCAAGAATGTCCGTGCTGGAAGCAAAAGATGAACAACTGAGGAGGGAGATTGATGAGCAGGAGCAGCTGCTAAGGTGGCCAGGCTGTGAACTGTCTACTCTGATGAGCAAACTGCCCTTGGGGGAGTTGCAAAAGATGGACCAGGCCCTGGATGACACCTGGGCCTTGGCCAGTCAGCTTCTGTTCCTTGCAGAGCCACCAAAAACAATAAGAAGGTATTTTTTACTTCCTAACTGCTTTTGAATTGCGTTAGCCCTTTTATAAGCTCACTGTATTGATTTTGTTCTTTGATCCTCATATATAAATATTGACCAAGCTGTCAGTCCTGAGTATGGCAAGATAGTTCACAGCCTGGCCACCTCACCCACAAAACATCAGGACTCCTCCTCCCTACTCAAATATGCACCCCTCCCCATTTCCAAAAGGAGCCCTCATAGCAAAGTGGGTTATAAGTTGGTCGGCTAACCACAAGGTCAGCGGGTCAAATCCACCAGTCACTTCACAGGAGAAAGATGAGGCTGTCTGCTCCTGTAAAGGTTTATAGCCTCGGAAACCCTAAGCAGGGTTGCTGTGATTTGGAACCAACTCCACAGCACGTAACCACCACCACCGTAGGGCTGTTGAAGTCCTGGTGTGGCACTAGGCCACAAGGTCAACTTGAACCACATGGTCAGTGGTTCGAACTCACCAGCTGCTCCTTGGAAACCAACCCTCTACAGGGTCGCTATGAGTAGAAACCAACTTAGTGGTGCTTAACAACAAAATAGGGCAGTTATGCAGACTAACTGGGTTTTGGTAGCTTAGTGGTTATGAGACAGGCTGCTAACCTCAAGTCAGCAGTTCGAAACTACCAGCTGTTCTGCAGGAGAAAGATGAGGCTTTCTGTTCCTGTAAAGATTGGAAACCCTATGCATGGTCATTATGAGTCAGAATCGACTCCATGGCATACCACCACCACCACTACCACCATATAAAACTGTTCTAACAGAGTCTAAGGAGCGCTGGTAGCATAGTGGTTACGAATCGGGCTGTGAACCGCAAGGTCAGCAGTTTGAAACTACCAGCCTCTCCGCGGGAGAAAGATGAGGCTTTCTGCTCCCGTAAAGATGTACAGCCTCGGAAACCCTGTGCAGGGTCACTATGAGTTGGAACTGACTCTACGGTACTTAACAACAACAACGTATATAAGGCTTAAAACAACTCTTTCTTGATTCCAGAATCCAGGTGCATCATATTTGTTTTTTCTTTTGCTTTTTCCAGCAGGGAGGCTTATTATCCTCCAGTCATCTTCTTGAAGTAAAAACCTTGGGCCCATCTACCTTAGAACCCTGTGCAGTACTCACCAGCCACCATCCTTCTGAGTTGAACTCATAGAAAATACTCATGCTGTTACTTGTTAGGAGATGTATCAATTATAGAGCATTTTCTTACACATTAACATATATCATTCACACAGTATGTGGTAGGATAGATGACTAATTACTTTCACTTTACAGTCGAGAAAACCAAAATTCGGAAAGTTCTCTGATGACGCAATTAGTCAGAGACCATCTAAGAACATCTGTAGTTGTCTTTCGGTCTGATTTTCTTCCCAAGAACCAAAGAAGATATTTCTGAGCTCATAGAGACAGATCTTATTTCTTACTTCTATTCTGGTCTGTTACTCTGCCCATGTATTCTCTCTTGCTTGTTAATGAATTTGACGGCTCAGAGAGGGAATGCAGGTAATGTTCGCCCAATGACCCAGAGATTTAGCCAATTGGATAGACTCTTGAGAGACTTCAAAGTCATGGGGATCCAATTTTATGGTGCTGTTAGGGAGACTGGCTGTGAGACTAGCCCTTGACGAGGTGCTCTGCCGTCTGGGGTTCTTCTAGGGAGCCCCCATCAGAGTCAAAGCCTTAAGTTTCTCCCTGAGATTTCCAAGCTCGGGTCAAGAGCAGCCTTTCCCTTTTTGTTATGCTGAGGTGCCTGGAGGAAAATCATTTCAGAAAGCACCAGGGCTTTGTGTCGGAGGAAATCATGGAGATGTCAGGACAGGAGAGTAAGAAGGAAATGCAGGGCGGTTCGAAGATCAAACCGTGGGCTGTGACTGGTGGATAATGCCCTTTCTTCTTGTGGTAATGGCGCTGTACGGTGCGTTCAACCTCATTGTTCACCAGGAGCAGAATTCTGTCTGTGCTGGATGGAGCTGGTTGGTGCTGCTGGGCAGACAATTGAGGGTGACCACCCTGACACATCTCAGCACTCTGGATTACCCTACATCTTGTCTTCCACTCCATTAACTGAGTAGTGCAGAGAGACCAGCGAAGAGGTGGCCTTACCTTTGTGTTTCAGGGCAGCGAGGGTGGTGGAGGTGTAGGCTTGGTCTGGTCAGCTTCTTTCCAAGCTTGCAGGAAGGTGAGACATCGGACTGCCCCACCATCAGTATCAGCTGGAAAACCATGGAGTGAGCTTTCATTCCCAGGAGGCAGACATACCATTTCCAAGCTAACAGGCAATATAGTATCGGCACCCAGGAATGGGTGTTGGAAAGGAGCCCAATGAACCTTGAGCCATTTGGCTCAACAGATCTGAGAGATTGCTTGGTCCAATATTTGTAACAAATTATAGATGATCTCATTAGCTGAATTTTTTTTCATGTTTTATTGTGAATTATATGATATTTTACATGAGAGAATTTTAGTTTTACATTCATTCCATCGTTTATCGTCTCATTGCCATGGTTCCAATCCCCTCCATGCATCATCAACCGACCAAAGGGTATACCTTTTGATGATGTTCGCTCAGAGGCAGCTGGGTGAGACTCCTCTGTGCTTCAGTAACTGTGTAAACTGGGCCAATTTGAGGCACCCAAGTGCTGTGGCGTAGAGCCTTCAGGCCAACTACCTCTGAGCAGTCTTCAAGCTACTTCTCCATTGTTTGTTTATTATTGTGCCTTTATCTCCCCTGCTGGTCTCTCTGTTTCTTTCGCTTTGATGTTTTTGCCTTTTACCTGGATGATTTGTCAAAATCATTGGCTTTATGGGACTAAGAGCATTAGAAATCATCTGAAAGAAGAGCTCAGTAAAAACTTTTGCTCTTGAATATTTCTTTCCTTTCTCTTTTTAAAGCAGACACTTTGCTTTTGTCAAGAATTCATGAGGCAGACAAATGCTTGTCCAGAAAAGTTAATACAGTGTGATAGTAGGCTGTGAGAAACATGAGACCAACAAGTCCTTGAAAGTGGTAATAAAGGACAACTTGCTATGGTTCATCTTCTCATCTCTCAGATTTACAATCATAATGTTGCTGTTGTGAAGTGCTGTTGAGTCGGTTCTGACCCATAGTGACCCTGTATAGGGTTTCCAAGGAGCAGCTGGTGAGCTGCTCAAACAGCTTTGCAGTCTGGCGCATTAACCCACAGCACCACACCAGGACTTGTAATAACACTGTTGGAGTCCTGGTGTGGCTCTGTAGGATAAGCACTGAACTGCTAACCAAAGGGTTGATGGTTAAAACCACCAGCCACTCCTCCGAAACCCTATACAAGGTTGCTATGAGTCGGAACCCACTTAATGGCACTTCATTACAACGTTGTTTACAACCTCAGCCAACTCTTCATTTGTCTTGTAGTGGCTTGTGTGTTGTACTGTAGTGATTTGTGTGTTGCTGTGATGCTGGAACCTATGCCGCTGTTATCTCAAACACCCGCAGTGTCACTGTTGGTGGACAAGTTTCAGTGGAACATTCAGACTAAGGCAGAGTAGGAAGAGAGGCCTGGAGAGCTTCTGAAAATTGTTGCTGTTGTCAGGTGCCGTCAAGCCAGGTGTGACTCAGAACAACCTTACGTACAATAGAAAACTCACTGCCCCATCCTGTGCTGCCCTCACAGTGTTTGCGTCCACTGCTGCAGTCGCTGTTTCAGTCCATCTTCTTGGGGGCTTGACCTCTTCTTTACCAAGCACGATGCTCTTCCCCATTCTCCTGATAACATGTCCAAAGTACTGGAGCTGAATCCTTGATACACTAACTTCCAACGAGCATTTGGTTATACTTCTTTCATGACAGATTGTTCTCTGGCAATCCATGGTACTTTCAATATTCTTCACCAACATCATGACTCAAATGCATCAGTTTTTCCTCAGTGTTTCTTATTCATTCTTGTCCAGCCTTTATATACGTAGGAGGTGATTGAATATACGTTGGCTTAGGTCAGGGGTACCTCAATTCTCAAAGGGATATCTTTGCTGTCTAACATTTTAAAGAGATCTTTTACAGCAGATTTGCCCAATGCAATAGTCATTTAACTTCTTAACTGCTGCTTCCATGAGCTTTGGTTGTGGTTCCAAGTAAAATGAAATCCTTGACAACTTTCGTCTTTCCTTTGTTTATTGTGCTGTTGCTTATCAGTCCAGTTATGAGGATTTGTGTTTTCTTTATGTTGAGGTATAATCTATTCTAAGGACTATAGTGTTTGATTTTTATTAGTAAGTGTTTCAAGTTCTCTTCACTTTCAGGAAGCAAGATTGTGTCATCTCCATATTGCAGGTTGTTAATGAGTCTTCCCATTTTGATACAGCATTCTTCTTCATATAGTCCAGCTCCTCAGATTATTTGCTCAGGCTACAGAATGAATTAATTTGGTGAAAGGATATCATTCCGATGTGCACTGTATGAGTAATTTCTTTTAGAAAGATTAGCCCAAGGCTTGTTCCTGTGAGGTGGAGTTTAAAGATATCCCAAATGTCCAACTTTTCCAACATGCTATTATGTTGTTGTTAAGTGCCATC